CCTGATTTGAAATATAAGGGAGGGTCGAACTAACTAATATGAATTTGAAATATATATTTATAGAAACTTCATAAAAAATATTCACAATAATTAACAATTCAAAATATTTTAAAAATATTCGAAAAAAATCATGGTTCCTTTGACTCTCCAAATTGTAATTAACTAAGACACAAAAATTAAAACCAGGGTGAGTACAAAATGAAAAAAAAAACTAGCATTCTTTTTTAAATTATTTTTTATATAATTAAACAAAAAAAGACACAATTTAAAACCGAGCAAGTAATATTTAGTGTTCTTTTTTGTCTTGAATTTTATTGTTTTTGGTACTATAATTATTTGGTGTCCAAAATTTATTGATTTTTTTTTGGTAGAAAAGAGACAATATATTATTTTGATTAATATGCATGAATACAATACAGGTTGAGACGTGTTGCTAGTACTATTCGGGGATGGGTGTGTTAATACATAGTAGGTACTACAATAATTTGTAGACATGATTTGACTAATATAAATTAGTATCGCGTAGAATCCATGTAAATAAAAGTGATTTCTATCAATAATTTTTTTATATTTGAAATTTAAATTCGAAATTTTTAATTAAGGATCCGTATTGTAGACTTGAGCTTGTTTTCTATTTTCCAACTTTTTGAACGTTGAAACATACGTTTTCTATTTATTCCCCGTGCTTTATTAGCCAAAAATTCCACACTAGACTAATTTCCTATACATTAGTTGCCAATATTTTGTGCGGGTTGAAAGCGCCATAAAGCCATAAAGGAGGACTAAAATCTTTTTCTTGAAAGAGCGTAAATTCTGCCTTTTTTTTATCCCAACTTCCCACTCTTTCTGTGCCATAAAGGATTAAAATCTTTTTCTTGAAAGAGCGTAAATTCTGCCTTTTTTTTTTAATCCCAATTTCCCACTCTTTCGGTGAGGCAAGCATAACCTCACCACACTACACTACACTTCGACACAAGACATTTGATTAATTCTCTTTACCTATAAATACCCCTCATCACTTCTTCATTCTCTTCCCAAAACATCTTTTGTACATCAAATTTTACTAGGCTATTAATAAATTCATAAAAATAGGAAAGAGTATAATGGGTTTGGAGATGAGTGAGATTTCAAATTACAAGTCATCAGTAGTTTTGTCTAAGTTGGCTAGTAACGAACAACATGGTGAAAACTCACCATATTTTGATGGGTGGAAAGCATACGATAACGATCCTTTCCACCCAGTTAATAACCCGAATGGGGTTATTCAAATGGGTCTCGCGGAAAATCAGCTTTCAGTTGACTTGATTGAAGATTGGATTAAGATAAATCCAAAAGCTTCCATTTGTACAAATGATGGAATTGAATCTTTCAGGAGAATAGCCAACTTTCAAGATTATCATGGATTGCCTGAATTCACAAATGTAAGTTGTGCTCTTACGTACTATTTCCTCCGTTCAAAAAATAAGTGTCACATTAAAAATTCAGGACAAAAATTAGTATGTTATACCAATCATACCTTTGTATTAAAGAACGATAGTGTTCAATTCTCAAGAAACATCTAATAAATAGAAGTAATTCTTCTATTTGTTATTTTTCTTAATAGGCGTGAAATAAGTTAAAATCAAATTTTTTTTTGAGATGAATATGAAATACAGACTACTATATATATATGAATAGTAGTACACTGTAGTGGTGAAAGTCTTTATGAGTTTGTACCAAAAAAAGAAAGTTTATGATCAATTTTATTACTATAAGTTTATATTTACTTGGAATAAAGAACTAAGTTTACATTTAGTTGAAATAAATATATTTCTTGACTTCTACCTCAAACATACATTTTATTTTATCTGACACTATTTTCTTATCTACTAAAGATTAAAAAAAAATAACATATGTTATACTTAAAGTTTCTATTCATTTTTCATCAAATCAACTTATTAGGAGAACAAATTCTCTCACTGAAATAGTGGAAAACTTCCTAATTTTTTCGTATAATTTTATTTTATCTTTTGTGTAGGCAATTGCAAAATTTATGGAGAAAACAAGAGGTGGTAAGGTTAAGTTTGACCCAAAACGTGTAGTAATGGCTGGCGGAGCTACTGGAGCTAATGAGACTCTCATACTTTGTTTGGCTGATCCTGGTGATGCTTTTTTAGTCCCCTCACCCTATTACCCAGGGTATGTATATACATATTTCTATATCAAATTTAACTTATTTATATATCAATCGTTAAAAATATAAACATTCCTTAAATATTGAATCCCCTTCTTTGCCTCTTAAACGAGAAAAAAAAAACTCGGTTGACTTTCAAAATTCATACGGTATCTTACTAGAATCCGCTTGTCAATCGGCAAGGTTGGATACATATATATGATTCGTGTTTTTCAAATTAAACAAGTAAAAATGGACGGATGAAATATATAATAGTATTTGGCAATGGTAATTGATTGAGGGGAGATTTTTTTTTAATGAAATAGCACTAGTAAAGTAATTAAAGAGAGATTATACGTAATGGTCAAATCTTATGGACTTTTAGAACTAATATTAATGGCGGACCCTTTGCCTACCTGTGATTTGTTTAAAAAGTTGAAAGTAACAAACAAGAGTAATACTTTTGCTTCTTTGTCTTTTTACAAATTTTTTTTTAAAAAAAATGAAATTTTCTTGTCAGATATAAAATTTTAAATTTTTTCATTTTATAAATAATTTTATATAACATAGTTTGAATTTCAAGACGTTTCAAGTAATTTGACCCTGAATTTGTACCAGAGATCTTTAAACCATGTAAAAAGTATTTTTAAGTCACAATGATAAATAATTCAGGTGAAAAAACTGTTTTAACTCTAGAAATTCATGACAATACACTAAGTCTTCATTTTTATTAAATGCAGATTTAATAGGGACCTAAGATGGAGAAGTGGTGTACAACTTTTGCCCATTTCATGCAAGAGTTCCAATAATTTCAAAATTACTATAGAAGCTATCAAAGAGGCATATGAAAAAGGCCAACAAGCAAATGTCAAAATCAAAGGCTTGATTTTGACCAACCCTTCTAATCCATTAGGCACCATTTTGGATAGGGACACACTAAAAAACATCTTCACCTTCACTAACGAACATAACATCCACCTTGTTTGCGACGAAATCTACGCTGCCACTGTGTTTGATGCTCCACAATTCGTCAGCATCGCTGAAATTATCAACGACGAAATTTGTATTAATAAAGATTTGGTACATATTGTATCTAGTCTTTCAAAGGACTTAGGTTTTCCAGGATTTCGAGTGGGAATTGTGTATTCTTTCAACGATGACGTTGTTAATTGTGCTAGAAAAATGTCGAGTTTTGGTCTTGTTTCCACTCAAACACAACATTTGCTAGCTGCAATGTTGTCTGACGATGAATTTGTGGAAGAATTTCTCATTGAAAGCGCGAAAAGGTTAAGGGAAAGGTACGAGAAATTCACGAGGGGACTCGATGAAATCGGAATCAAGTGCTTAGAGAGCAATGCGGGGGTTTATTGTTGGATGGATTTGAGATTGTTGTTGAAAGAACCAACTCTTGATGCTGAGATGTCACTTTGGAAACTAATCATAAACGACGTTAAGCTCAACGTCTCGCCTGGATCTTCGTTTAATTGCTCGGAGGTAGGATGGTTTCGAGTTTGTTTTGCAAATATCGATGATCAAACAATGGAGATCGCGCTTGCTAGGATTCGGATGTTTATGGATGCTAATAACAATGTTGATGAAAATGGAATCTTAAAGAACAAGCAACAATGGAAGAGGAACAATCTACGACTTAACTTCTCAAATGGGGAGTACGATGAAAATGTTATGAGTTTGAATATGATGTCTCCTAATTCTCCGATTCCTCGCTCGCCGCTGGTGCGAGCGAGGAATTAAAAGAGAAAATTAGGAAGGAAAATTATTGTTGTACAAACAAATAAGGTTATAAAGCTTGTAGATGAATATATTGTACATACTCTTTAGTTGATTAGAACCCCTGAAAAATGAATCTATACATTCCAAATCATGATTTCAATATCATTTTAAATTTTGCAAAAACAAAGAAGACCGCATGCTCAATGTGAAGAGATTGTTTGTACTAAAAAGTCGGCTGCAATTCAGGGCATTAACACAAGCAGATAATACACAAAGTATCGTCTTCCCCTAGTAAGCAACTAGAAAAAATGAAGTGCATGCTTGCATGGAACAACTGTTTCGCTATCTTCAGAACCACAGAGGCGCACTTTCAATATGTATTGATCGAGCAACATAACGAATCAATCAAATGTAAGTACAACTAGGTTGCTGAAATGAAACCCCTAAACACTGTACAGGGGAATGGACTATCTACGTCTTCGATGGATACTTTACAGTAGGAAATCCATAACTATGAATACAGGTATTCACCGACCCTTCTGAAGAAGCTATCTATTTGCAAGAATCTTTGAGACTGGAAACTACTTGATTTGGTGTAATGATGGCAAACTCTCGGTATTGTTATGCTGCAACAGTACACAAACAAGGTTCCACCTTTAGCATTAGAGTCTTTCTAAAACAATTTCATAAAGAAACAGTAACCATGTAGATATATAAGATTCTTCACTCCTGTTATTTACTTGAGCTGAGGGTCTATTGAAAACAATCTATCTCCTTCACAAGGTAGGGGTAAGGTTTGCGTACGCACTACCTTACCCAGACCCCACTTGTGGGACTACACTGGGATGTTGTTGTAATAGATATATAAGATACTTTAAACACTTATCGAATAAAAGAGTTGCATAAATACTACTACTATCACTTCGAGTTTCTTGCATTTGTTGTCCTCTAATTTGTAGCTTAGCGTAAAATACATAAGCATTCTAGAGTGGCAGGATCACTTTTAAATCATTGCCCAAATCGTTTTTTCATATTTTTGTTTCTTTACCACTTCACCTGAGGAGAAGTAACTGAACATGTAACATTTATAAGTAAATAAAGAAAATAAGACCCACCACTGATGCCGAATTTTTGGATTGCAGAAATTTGATACAACCACCTCTGCCATCAGCTCTTACAGCAATCAAATCACCAGCACTTGCACCTGATCCTTGCATCAAGACAGCAATCCAGATCCTTGTCGTTTACTTTCTCTTACACCATTTTCCCAAGTGCCAGTAATTCCCATCAGGACCTAACAATCCACCAGAAAAGCAGCTGTCTCCTGCGATATTCACTCAGTGTCAGAGGAAACATGTACTTGTTATTAAGTAATTTCTCTTTCCCTAAATGAACTTGGATCTCCCACAAGGAAAGTCAAAAGAAGAGAAAAGTAAACACTTGGAAAATGAACTATTATGTAATTCTTTTAATTAAGGGTTAAATCAAGTTTTAAGAGCATTCTCTGATCAGTGAATAAGATAATTTGGTAGAAATAAATCATCATCACCCAAACAACAGACAGCACTTTAACATCAAGATGAGACAGATAGAAACCTGGTTTGGCAAGTACAACTGGTGAAGAAGTCTCTTTCCTGATGTGAAATGCGGGTTGGTGTTGTGTAATATCATCTAAAGGCAGAAGATCATCATCATCATCATCATCATCAAGAATAATCACTGGGGGCATGTTTTCTTTACTGTTCTTGCTACAATTCCTTGAGGCTGACATTCCATCCTTATTTCCTGATCCATGCCCTAGACTTCCACCAGTGGCCCCAAAAACTGCCTCCGGCCTTGACAAAAAACTATCATGGACAGCCTTTTTATGGTCAAATGGTTGGTGCAAGTTTTGATATGATCCTTCATGCACATAACTGGAAGTCTCTGGAGTGCCTCCATCTTTGTTTCTTTTGGAAGATTCTTTCTCATGATTATTTTTGTGAAGACTGCTAGCTATAATATCTTCTGCCATGTTTGGTATGCTCTTATCCTTAGACTTATACTTTCTTTTTCTCTTTGGTCTAGATAAATCATCACATGAGCCAGTGACGATGCATACATCTACTTCTGTCTCAGCAGGTGCCTTATTCTGATTCTCATATGAACATCTGTCAACTTTGGGTTCTTTACTCCCTTGATAGTTTTTCTTGGAGGCTTTCGAAATTCTCAAAATTTCATTATCTTTTCCTTCAAGTGCCATCTCAAGTTCTTGGACCCTGGCCTGTAAATAGCCGCACACTGTTCAAAGCTCAAATTGTAATATACCATATTTCATTTAGGACATCAAACACTTACCTTCAAGTTATTTTTCTTCTCTTTAGTTTTCTGAAGTTTCCTCAGATAACGAACCTCTCGCCTGTCTAGAGTGTTGCACTTGGTCATCAGTTCTTCGTAATTCCTGCCAGATAAATGCAATAAAGTTCTCCGTCAAACTTACAGCTAAACTATTAAGATTACTTCTGTGCTTGATAAAACTGAATCAAGAAAATAAAGATTGCTTTTGAGCTTGCGAAAACGAGATGATTGTAAATGACAAACTACCCAGCTCAAAGATCTGGAAACTACCCTACCAGGTGAAAATACCACAGGAGTGAATTAGGAAAAAGATCTGATAGAAGGAAAAGGATTTCTTTTGTAGAACCAAACCGAACGGTTTTACAAGCATAACACTAGTATCATTCCATTGACAAGTCAACAATATTACTCCATCAACTTGTAGCTACACAATTTTGCATGAAAACAATAAAACTCATTACTTAACTAATCCGCATAGAAAAGATTACCCAACTATATGTAAGCATATAGCACAACGTACAAAAACTATTTTTAAATTTCGCTTTTGCATTTAGAAGCTTCAGTACGATAGCTTCATTGTCCTTTCAGAATTAACGGTTCTTTTCATAAAGAAGAATTAGGAAGCCTGACTGTTAGCAGAATTGTTCAGCTACATCAAGCTTATGTTTTACCGAATGGACTTTCTATCTACATGCCCTATCCCCGATATCAGATCAGAAAGTAATCATTTGCCTGAGCTTGAGAGGAAACTTAGTGTAATATATCAAAGTTTTAAAATTCAGATTTTCCCAAGGAAATGAACCTCCAATGATCGTATTCTACAACATAAAAACAAGGCCAAAAGAATCTCTAAAGCAGAAGAACATTAGTAGATATCAAGTTTCATGCTGAAACTGTAACTTCCTAAATGAAAGTAAAAGCGTACTTGTTACGGATGACCAGTGATTTTTTCAAGACATCAATTGTCTCTTTGCTATTAACATCATCTCTTAACGAAGCACGTTTCAAGACCTCCTCTTCCTCCAAGTTAAAATCGCAGACTCTGAAGTAATAACCATGAAGGCAAAGTGAAAACAAGAACTACTGTAAATATAATATTAGGATGAAAGTACTTGTTGCCCTCAATATGATATGACTTACAACTTGAGTGTTGCAAGCTCCTTAGCTAGAGCCTTATTTCTATCTTGTAGCCTTATGCACTCCAAAGTTGATTGATCTAGCTCCTACAGCATAAATTTGTCCAGAATATAGTAACTAATAACTTACATACATGACACCAAGAAGAATTACTTACAAGCATGCCTGAATAGATGCACTAGGAAACATCAAGAGGCAAAAATATCTACCTTGGATTTAAGATGTAGCAACTGTTGAATGGCTGCCTCCTGTTTCACAGCTTCAATCTTTAGAGTCATTTCCATTTTCAACTCCTCCTTGCACGTGAACAGCTGAAAAAAAAAACAATGCAACGAAATAGTTGAGATGAAAATGTGATGACATGAAGTCTTGCGCAGATCAAGTTTGAAGCAAATATGCTCACATAAATGTCTCTAGTTTTAGTTAATGGTACCAGATACTTCTCAACTTAGCGGGAGCCATGCTTATTCCACCTAAGAACATGTATTTTGGTTCTGAGCAAAAGAGTGGCTCTTTTCAATCATTAGCCAAACAATAAAATGAAACTTACATCTGCAAAAGATGTTTATTTCATTTGTCACATGTGATCTTTAGACATTAGAACTCTTCATGGAACTCACAAATTTTTATATCTATCAATTTTTTGTCATTTCATTTGGTCAACAATGGGAATAGAGACATGGAAAAAGATTGACTTTTCACATCTAACCGATGGATGATTTCGTGAAGCAAGTACTCATCTGCTAGGTGCTTGAAGGAAGAGATCACCATGCTTAGATTCAAAATCAAGTAGAAAATATGTTTTTGAATCTTTCTCTATGCAATAGCTTTTGATTGCCCCAGTTCAAGGCTTTTTGAGGATGGAGAACTGGAAGCCCAATGATTTTCAAATGTGAAGAGAATCACGGCTACACAGAAGCATGGTGAGTTTCTTTGCACAATTATATTTTCTCTAGCTGTCAATTTTGTACTATATTTACAATGTTGATTGTATCTCTTACATGAAGGAAAGGTTGATGTATCTGACTAGTAGCCCTGATAACTTCTCAATAGATCATCCCTATCCTGAAGTTTTTGGCCAAAAACATACTTGGACTATACCCAAAACTTAGGATACATCTGTTAACTACCACAGTGAAGAAGAACATCCTTAAGTATCCAAAATTTAGCAAGTTTCATCCTTTGACCAGAATGTTAGAAAGACTAACAGACCCGCTCATTTGCCATTCATCACTCCAGGACTCGCTCATATATATCCTTCTTTTTTTTTGAGAAAGGTAACATCATATATACCCTTTTTTATTTCATCAAATTGAGAAAATATTGTGAATAGAATAAACATGATGCAATTGCATAGAATTCGACAGCTTTATATTCTGTAAATTCATAACCAAAGAGATAGCAAGATGAACAATTACCTCTGCATTGACGTCTTTGAGATCTTTCAGCTGTTTTTCCAGAGTGGAAGTCAGTCCTACAACTTTCCTCTCCAATCTTTTGACCTCATTTTTCAACTCCCGGTGATCCTCTTTATAATCAGGAGGCTTCTGCATAAGACTTGTAACATTTGGATCACCAATAGATTGGAAATAAAGCCTATTTGCATTGTCTTCCGAACAAGCCTGTTTACAAACTGGGCAATTCTTCTTCTTTCCTTTTGCACAGTATTCAAACCATTGCTGAAGACTTGTTTTTGCAACCATAACATATCACAAACAGATACTTGTCAGATAAGGACAACAATTATCTCCATCAAATAGCCAAGTACGAATATAGAATTGTTACAAGCCAAACCAGCAACAACTTAAAGTAGAAGCAATGTTTTCTTTTTTCTCATTAGAAGGAAACATAAAGGTGTGTTTGGTTTAAAGGAAAATGTTTTACCATAGGAAATCATTTCCCTTATCATCTTCAGTGTTTACTAGACTATAAAAGCAACTAACGTAAAGTAAATGTACAAGGTGTAGAATAGTGGTGCAGGAGAAAAGTTTAGTGATATTTTTAGTATTTAAGGTCAACAACAATACATGAATGTTGATTAAAACAAATTATATAAAATAAGAAATAAATTTGTTTGTAAAGAAAAGGACTGCAGCTCATAAGTGGCAGAAATACATACCTTTTGGATAAAAATGGAGAAAACATTTTTCACAATACAATGTAACTAAACATAGAAACCAATTTCTTGAAAAAAAAAACATTTCTTTTTTTGATAACCGAGCACCTCGACTAACCCCACAGGGTTCCAACACCTTACACCAACAACATGTATCGAGTAACTATGAAAAGAAATCACCTAACTGTCGTTTGGTACGGGGATGGGATAGACAAAGTTATCCCATCAATTGAGCTATCCCACGTAATTAATTATCCCACTATATATATGGGGATAACTTACCACATCATTGTTGTACAAATAGTGAGACAAATAATCTCACGATTAACTAATACCCCCTAATCAAACGCAATAATCCTACATTTTATCTCGAGACTCTTATCACTTGTACCAAACGACCCTCTAGTTTTTTTCTTGTTTCCCCTAGTTCTCAGCCCAATTCACTAACCACTAGGCACTGCAGCTTGAAAATAGCATTTTTGTCATAATAAAACACCCAAAAAATAAATTTTTCAGAGGTTACAAATCTGTATAGTACAATCAACGAACTCATAGGCACAAAGGGTAACTAACAAAATACCAATTCTGGGTTTTCAAAAAAAAAAAAAAGGATTTTTAATCAAGTGGAATCCAAGCAAAGAAAACCCAATTAAAATTCTTATATAAACAACTATTTATCTCAATTAGAATCAAGATTAGCTGAAATAAGAGTACCCAAATAGATTTAGAAAAGGAGAAGCTAACCATAGCTCGTGAAAAACGTGACCACAAATAGTAACAGCTTGAAGATCTTCGATTATAGGGTTTAGATCTTCATAGCAAATTGAGCAAATGGTTTTCCCAAAGCTATTCACTCCAACCATTTTTCTCCTCCTTTTTTCTGCTTCTGGATCATCAGTGGAAAATGGAGAAAGGAGGAGGGAAAACGAAATCGAAACGGTAGGGTGGGAAGAAGAGGGAAAATTTTAGTAAATGTAGGGGAATTTATACTACAAGAACTAAGACCCTTACACCACAATTTTATTAATTTCAATTGACAAAACTATCCAATATATCAAGTTTAAGCTAAGCTGGAACAGCCGTTATAAAAAAAAAAAAAGTATATTGATTTTTATTTAAGATAGTCATTATCTATGCAACTCTATAAATAATATTAACTCTTAGATTATTTGGTTGATTTAACACTAAATGATCCTTTGGAGTAAGATATTTTGTTATGAGAGTAATGTTTTTTATTATAGGAGTATTAAAGTATTAAGACTCTTGGGAGGATAACTGGACTAGACTGGGTGCTATTAAAGTTACTAATCCAGATGTTGTAAGAGTCAACATTGTGAAAACTTGAGTTTTTTTTTTAGCAACCTAATGGGTGGAACAGAGACAAGCTTCATGAATATCTACCAAAAGCAACAGTATCAGAATGTTGAACTGTGATGCTAAATCGGATCTTCCAGATAATTCTTGGTGGATGAAAACCAGTTCTGATAAATTTATGATTAGTAGTGCTTGGGAGGAAATCAGACAAAAAGGACAACAAATGGAGGACTATGGTTATATTTGGGCTAAATGAGTTCCATATAAAATTGTTTTCTTGTTGTGGAGGGTATGAAAATATAAGATTTCAGTGGATGAGGTGCCGAAAAGAATTAAGATCAATTTAGTTTCCAAATATAGATGTTGTGAAAATGCTCAAGAGGAAATTGTTCACTTATTTATTACTGGTGATTTTGCAACTTCAATATGAAAATATTATTCTAGAGCAGTGGGATTACTTGGTCCTTTAATCCAGATTCAACAGGCCATTAAAAAGTGATGGAACCTAAAGAGTTGTGCTAAGCTTTATCCTATTTTACAGGCAGTCCCTGCCTTTGTCGGTTGGCAGCTATGGAAAAGAAGAAATGTTATTCATCATGAAGGAATTACGATTAGTGTAAGGGTTATTCAAGAGATAACAATAATCTGGTGAAATTAGTGAAGTTGAAATACCCTTGGATGAAAGAAATATCAAATCAGTGGCCTCAATTGATTCATCATCTTGAGCAATATAAACCTTTAATTAGGTCACAGTTGGTGAGGTGGATGAAGCATGATGCTGGATGGTTTAAATGTAATACTGATGGGGCAAACAAAGGTAACCCAGGAGAGAGCTCTACAGCTTTTTGTTTGAGAGATGTTAATGGGGATTTGATATATGCTGAAGCAAAAAAATATTAGGGCTAACTAATATCTTGTGTGCAAAAGCTACAGCTATTCAAGATGGTGTTAGATTTTGTATTGAATAACAGAGGATTCCAATTCTAATAAAGTCAGACTCACTATCTATGGTCAATATGATTGAGGATAGATGGAAGACTCCATGGAATATTAGAATAGAGATGAACAAAATTAAATATTGGAGGAGTAAAGGGATAATGCATTTTGCCCACATCCTTAGGGAAGGAAATGCACTAGCAGATTTTTTAGCTAATGAAGTTTTTTCTTTTGCAGGTACAGAAGATATAAAATACAATTATTTCCAAGAGTTACCATTGCAAGCTAGAAGGTTACTAAACATCGACAAACAACAAATCTCATAACTAAGGTTCAACACATTCAGAAATAGGGAACCACATGTAGCCATCTTTTTTGATTGATTTTATTTGACCGATGTACAAATAACAAATTTACTAATGGTGATATTAGTCTTGTATTTGCTTCATTCCATTGTAATTTTTTTGTTTGAACAAAAGTCAATTAAAATTAACTGAGTTATGTCTTCAGCTTTGTAGAGAAACAACAAGAAATATCTTTGAGTCATTGTTTACTTCGTATAGATAAGTTGATTAAGTTCAACTTCATCTTGGATTCGACTACGCAACGTCTAGTGAGAGCTTAGAAACCGCTAAACTTGGATTCGAACTAGGAAATCAGCTTAATCTTGCATTTAAGGAATGATTCAAGTTAGATCTAGCTAACTATAGAAGTTTCAGAATAGTGACGAAAATATGTTCACGCAGAGTTACCTTCTCGATTTTCAAAGCGGTCAGCTTACCATCGATTAACAACTTCAGTTGTGATATTGCATATATCTCCGGTGTGGTAGATCAAAAAGTTATTGTTCTTGGTATTTCCTCTTTTGCCTATGTCATTTCATTTCCTCTTTGTTTTCTTTCCTTTTAGTTTTGCAGATTTTTTGGTTGTCTTATTTTTTTGGGAAAATTGTATGAAATAGCAAATTATTAATTCAAATTAAATGTTATAGTCATAGTTTATTTTAATTGTAATTCGCAGCAAGTATCCTCTTTTTTTGTCATCTGATTCAGTATGCAATTAGACATTTTCGGTATACAATTAGTCATTTTATACATTTTGGTATAAAATGTGTTTGTGTTTGTATAAAGCGAGAGAAAAGTGTATATACAAATACAAATACATATATTTTCGTCCTATACACTTATAATTATACAAATACAGATCTTATTATACAAATTATAATGTATAAATGAATTTATACAAAACTGAACAATTTGTATAAAATTGGATGTTTGTAGCGAATTATACAAATCAAAAGCTCTATAGCAAACATAAAATTTGCTATGGAGCACAATTATGCAAACTATAGCTATAACATACAAATATGAATTTTATGTTAGTTATATGTGAAAGTTGCTCTATTTTTTTTTTGTTAGGCTAATTTGGTGGGCTTTGGGTCTTAGCCCATCAGCCTTTTTAGTTTGTTTATGTACATATTTTGTTGAGCGGTAAATTTTGAGCCATTTGGCTCGTTTGGATTAAAAAAAAGTATTATTGTAACGGGCTTATTTCGTTGTTATAGTTGTATAAGATCATAATATATTTGTATAGGTCTCTACGAATTGAGAATTGGCAAAAGTAAAAAAATGAACAAGTCGAAAAGAATTGTTTAGCTCTCTATAACGAAGACACTAAAGTCGTTTGGTTGTCACGTCACGAGCCTACACATTGTACATGGCCGACATTCGAGAACCATTACTGGTCCCCAAGTGAACCATTAGTCTGACTGACTACTTAGCGGAAGACTTACTCAAGCAAAAACAAGAACTCCAAATGCAAAGATTAACTCAAAATATCTCAACAATAACTCAACTCAGTAAAGATCTGGAAATGCTTATATAAACATCAATAAGTGACTCAAAGTCTCAAAACATTAACAAGGGAAATAGTAGGAGACTCCCCAACTTCTAACTATCTATGAAGCCTCTAAATACTAAGATAGATATCGAGACAGGACCCTCGACAACTTAATAAGACAAAAATGTAAACATGGAGTCCTCCAAAGCAAGGAGGCTCACCATAGTTAGCTGAAGTGCAAATGGTATCAACAAAGCACCGGTTGATGACCTTAAACACATGCATCATAAATAAGATGCAGTTTGAATGACGTCAGTACATTGAATGTACGAGTATGCAAGGGGGGAAACTGAAACATAGATAACTGAACTGGTAACATGGAAAGACAATACTCACCTCAACTCAACTCCAATATGAAAGCAATAATAAGAGATGCAATATTTAAAGCTTTTAAAACAGTAGTTATCAACTCAAAATGTATAAAAATATAGTAACATACTATTTACTCTTATTTGGGAGATTCTTTAATCGACAACCATCACTAAGAGATATGTGATGATACATCGTCTCACCAACGTTGTTAGAACTGTCATATACCTTTTGGGGTATAGAACACCTCAACTAAGTGGATCCACTAAGCTATGCTTAAAAGCAATAAGGAATCGTCTAAAAAGTATGACCTTTTACCCATGTTGGCTACATGGTTTATGAGAAATCTGAGTTGTCTGAACTCATCTCCATATCGGTGCTTAATACTAATCTCAATAATATAAACTCATGCTCAAATGTATAAAACATAACTCTTTCTCAATTTGAGGTAATTACTCAAAAGATCCTCTTAAAAGAGGTAGTACTTTGAAAACATCTCTAAACTCATAACTCATTTAGAAATCGACGTTTCTCTCTTTTAAAATGTAAAAGTGTTACACTTGGGAACACTTCGTTTCCCTATACTCATTTTTGAAAGAAGAAATACAACTTTTCTCATTCTCATGCTTACTTCCTCAAGACTTAGTTCAAAATTATAATCAATTGCAAAAGAATTCTCGAAATGACTCAAAAGGACCTCTTGAACTTTTTTCTTAACCTTACTTTAATTTGAAATGTAAATCAGGACATGTGATTAGGACATGAATGATATCTCAAGGATTAATAAAGACTTTAAGAGTTCATATTAAGAAAAGAACGTAAACACAATTCAAAAGAACATATACGGAATGAAGGGCAGAAAAGGAAAGGACCAGGCGACCCTGGCGCACTGAGTGGCACAGGGCGCCATGCCCTAAACTACTGGCCAGAGTTTGGGGCGCACTGCTGGCGCGCCGCGCCAGGCCCTAAACTACTGACCAGTAGTAGCGCAGTAGATGGCGCGCCGCCCCACACCTTTGCCCAGAATTTCTAACGAATTTTCCTTCTAAGTTTCGGGTCCTAACTCATCTCGAATCGAATGATTTCTTCCAAACTCTTTTTTATTCACAAACCCAACACAAATTCATCTAAATTCACACAAACCCTATTAAGATTCACAATTCACACTCAAGAAACTCAATACCTACATTGTTAATGAAAGAAGTTAAAACCAAGAACTAATCAGAAATCATCTTAATAAACGATTTCATGGATGAAGTATAGGTATGACGTGAGGACGAACGAGTCCTACACTATGAGAGGCTTACATGCCTGAAAAGAACAATGTTCCTGAACGAATTCCTCAGTTCTTGAAAGAACGCTTGAAACCCTTCTCTCAAACTCTAAGCATTTAGGAACGTGAAAAAGTGGTATAAATCTGATTAGACCCTTATTAGGAGTGAAAAAAACGTGTTAGGCCTAGTGGGGTAAGAAAAAGAGCGAAATACCCTTTCCTTAAATGGATGGAAAGCCTTAAATTGGGAGGTTTCACTCAAATGGCCATAA